AGTGATTTCAAACAGCGTATGTTTAGTGCAGTTATTCCCGTCATCAAAACAACAAGTTTGTTGAGAAGAAGCCAGAATATACAGAGGAAGAGTTACAGGTTTTGGAAGAAGAGAGAGCAAGAAGAGAGGTTGAGGCTGCCAAGCAACCAGGGGCTGAGGGGAGACCCAGAGCCGGTGGTGTAAATGTGGGGCTTACTGGCCATTTTATTAGGTACACCTGTGCAATATAAACATAGAGTACGCCTCAAAATAATCACCGGAACACGGGGAGAACATGCTAACTCCACACTCATAAATCACCACAACTCCTGAGGGAACAACAACATAAAATGTTCCCTAGCAGTGTGTTTATTCCCAACAATGAGAAGTAATGCCAGTCACTTCACTATATGCTCTGGGCAAGCACTTATCCATAACATAACCACAACAACATTTGCATTTTAGCCTTATTTACCATGCTTGGGTTGTAGGCTAATGTTACTCAACATGGAGGTAACGTTACAGCAGAGAGATTGCTGAACAAAATACACAACGATCACTTACCACGTCTGCTCGTTTAGTGATGCCGACAGATGGTGTGACAGTATCTTTGAAGAAAAGCCCTTGAACCATTCCTGAGCTTCTGCGCTCCATCCTTTCAGCGTAGTCCTCCGGTAAAAAATGGCAGGAGCACACAAACATTTTCTGGACCATTTCCACAGGCGTGTTGGGGTCGACGTCCTGCACAAATAGCCATTGTTTCATCCTGTCCATATTACTGGTTGGAACTACGTGAAACTTCACTTTGCTCCATGTCTTCGGCTTGTTACTGCAACCTTTTACAATGCATGTGTAAACCATGATTTACAAAAACACTTGTAAACTTTCCTCAAACCTTCTGGTGTGTCCAGCTGACGATACCGCAAATGGCTTCAAGCAATAACAACGGCACTGTCTCAGATACGCACTGTATCACTCCGCCCAGTGGTTTACTCAAGAAAGTAGTTCCGAGTATTTGCTTCATGTGTCTTAATGTTACTTAATTATACATTATTATTTCATAGCGTGGGGAATGTGTAAGCTACAAGTTGTCCACAAGAGCGTTTTGGAGTCATTTGATGGTGTATTTGATTAGTTTTGAGGGAGAGAGGGAGCTGTACCGTTCACCTCCATTTCAGCGGGCAGCTCTGCCCCACCGATCTCAGAACTGCAGGCACTGACAATTAAAGGTGATGTACCTACTCACATGACTATAGGGATTATGGCAATAGGCGAATTTGCCAAAATGTCTAACTATCCCTTTAAGCAAAGCTTCCTATTGAAAGTTTAAAGCCATCTTATTTTCTTGCGACATTAACGCCTTACAGTGCCTCCAGCGTCACAGAAAGACACAAGCTTTCTATAACTTCTATCAATTTACAGACGCAGTGGGCGACACACGTACATTACATCTCTGTACAGTTTCACACTGAGAAGTTGAAAAGCTTAAAGCTTGTAAGTTGGGTCGATGTCTTGTATTTTGTACACAATATTTACCTTTAGACAAGTTTAGGTTTGGAAATTACAGTCCTGGCCAAAACAAAACGTGTTCAAGTACTCCATCACGCCAAGCACTTTGTGTAGACCCTGTTAAAAGCTCGGCAGCCACCTATCTGTAAAGAGTAACTGAATCTCCACTGTGCCTGGCCGGGCTGACAATAATGCTTCCAGTCACCAGAGAAGCTCCACTGTAAAAAGCTCCTGATCTGATCAGTGACACCGATGATTCAGTCCTCTCAGTTCAGCCTGAGGATTCTGTTTGTTTGTGCTCAACACTTTTTAATCCTACAACACTGCTGCTCTGTATCCTCTGCAGCCCTCTCTGTTTGTTACTGTCTAATCAGGAAACAATGGGATAGCTGCTATTCTTCCTGAATCGACGAGGGTCGACGTTGACTTGGCCGTGCACTGCACTGTGGGATGGCTCTGAGCGTTGCAAGCAAACCAGATGATGTCAAACTGTCTTTATGAACCTCTGCTGCCATTCCAGTGAATCACAACTCCATTCACCTCTAATCACAACAAACTTCTCTCAGAGGTTTTCAGTGCACTTAGGTTTTCAAAAGAAAGCCAAAGATTACAGCAACATTCTGTCTTCTCTCTGTCTTTTGGATCACAGGTGTTGGATAATAACTATATTGGAAAAAAATGAAAATAATAATAATCTAATTTCATGTTTCTCATCCCAGCGCCTGGGATGAGAATCAGCACCTCCAAGTCTGAGGCCATGGTCCTTAGCCAGAAAAGGGTGGATTGCCCACTCCAGGTCGTGTTTAAGTATCTCGGGATCTTGTTCACGAGTGAGGGTAGGATGGAGCGGGTGATTGACAGGTGGATTGGGGCGGCGTTAGCAGTGATGCAGGCGCTTAACCAGTCCGTTGTGGTGAAAAGGGAGCTTAGCCAAAAAGCGAAGCTCTCAATTTACCGTTTGATCTACGTTCCAACCCTCACCTATGGTCACGAGCTCTGGGTAGTGACTGAAAGAACAAGATCGCGAGTACAAGCGGCTGAAATGAGTTTCCTCCGCAGGGTGGCTGGGCTCAGCCTTAGAGATAGGGTGAGGAGCTCTGACATCCAGGAGGGACTCTGAGTAGAGCCGCTGCTCCTCCACATTGAGAGGAGCCAGTTGAGGTGGTTCGGGCATCTGGTAAGGATGCCTTCTGGGCACGTCCAACCGTGAGGAGACCTCGGGGCCGCCCCAGGACACGCTGGAGGGATTACATCGCCCGGCTGGCCTGGGAATGCCTTGGGGTTCCCTCGGAAGAGTTGGACTGTCTGGGCTTCTTTGCTGAGGCTGCTGCCCCCGTGACCCGGATAAGTGGAGGACGAGGAGTACGAGTAATTTCATGTTTTAACTATTTAATACTCTGATGGTTGACTTTGTGTGTCGGCTCTGTCCCCTGCGCCAGCTGGAATATGAGAGTCGCTTCAGGTGCGTTACTAACAGGCACGTTAACTGTGGAGAAGTGCTGCTCACTGTTATGAGAATAAGCAGAACATTTCCTAAGTGCTATATCATAGGCAACTGGACTTGGTCGAGTTTCTTGAAAGAGTTTCTCCTCTCATCCAAGAGGCCTCTGTGTGGGTGTGAACCCTTACACCTTGCAGGAGTATCTGAGGAACTCAGGAGGAGCAACAAACACCACACTAACACACTGAGGCAGACACTTGTCTGCTCTGAGGACAAAACACTCAGGAGCAGAATAATGTAGTGTATGCAGTTCAATGCAGCCAGGAATGCACAGATTTGTACTTTGGGGGAAACTTACCAACCACTCCACAAGCACATGGCACAGCACAGGAGAGCCAGCTCCTCAGGTCAAGACTCAGCTGTCCATTTACACGTATGGATTGTTTTGTCCCAAAGTTGTATAACTGCCTAGAGTTGGTTCATGTTCTCACGGCAGCATTTACAAGAGGACCAGATCAAATGCCTTGTGTGAGAAAGCTGCTCTTGATTGGTCAGAATTTCCATGTGGGAAAAATCCAGGAAGTAAAGCAAACGTTGAAGAAGAGTACACTTGCAAGATAAATGTGACACTTTCTAATGTCACAATGGAGGGACAACTACGCAGGTTGATTTTAGCGCTGCTCATCGTGGACTATATTCCCATAGGTTGCCATTCTCACTCCGGCCTCGTCGCATATTGATATTTGGTCATGGACATTCCACGTCCACATACAACATGGAAGGTACCCTGAGTGTGTTGGTTGTTGACGTTCTGGGACGTAGTTCAAGTTCTCTTCTTTCAAGATACACCTGAAATTTAACGTTTACAGTCTCTTTCAAAATAAACACATTACGTCGGTACAACACCGAGAATTGATGTTTTATTTCATTTAAGAAAAACACATGGTCAAGTTTAGGAAAAAAGAACAGGGTTTGGCTTTAGAATCATACGGGACGTGAACACGACTCTCTAGGGTGAAGGTCGGTATCTTATGGGGCGCCACTAAACTATAACGGCAGCCAGCCGCAAATCATGCCAATGTTAAAGGACACTTTCTTTTCATTGCTTGCTGATGCCACAAGTGTCTGCCCAAGCACCAGATATCGACGACTTTGGAGTGAGACTGTGGCTCTCTGTACACATATGGAAGTGGAAACAAGGGGTAAAGCCTGCTACTATGCACTAGTCCGTTAGAACTAAAGAAGCCTCTTGGATGAGAGGTGAGACATCTTCAAGAAACTCAAGCCAGTCCAGTTACCTTCGATGTAGCACTTTGGATTACCATGACCTGGATGACTGAGAATCTTCACCAACAAGCAATAAAGTTCCATTCAAATTTTTTCCTGAATTATCTTCATTTCAAAGTATAATAACTGAGTCTTACATGTATGAAATGTCCCAAAATGATCACTTTAAATGTGCTGCCTAACTGAATGACTTGAACGGTGCATGGTTATTATGGGATTTGTGGTTCCAGGTCAGGTTGCAGGACAAATTGGTATATGTGTAGGTGGCGGGGCAGTCACAGTATTCATGTCGCAGTGCTGGTTCAGGAGCGGGTCTTGAAAATCAGACCCATGCAGGACTCTGCCTCGGGCCTCTTGTAGCCTCTGAAAATGGATGGTGAGCAGTGTTGAGCAATATTTGTCACTTCACATCCACGGTCCACCCACACAGGTTCTCTCAGGCAACTTCCACCTTTATGTGCAGGATATGCTATAAATTTAGTTCTTCTCAAAGCAACTTGTTGGACTATGAGTTTGTTTACAGTACCAGCATCCTGTCGTGCATCCACACACACCCACACACTCACACCCCCACAGCAGGGCCATGACACCACTGATGGCAGCATGCCAGAGGGCCAAAGCAGCGTCAGTATCCTTGCATGGATATGCTAATGAACACGCTGCCCTCAACGACTGTGTTGCGCGTTCCCAAACACAGCACCATGATTTCCCTTGTGTATTTATGTGTGTCTTCTTTGGCGGTGTTTATTTCTGTGTGCGCCCGTGTTTGTGTCTTTCTGCTGACCTGTAGCAGCTCCTCTTGGTCGCCGCCCACCTCCAGTGCCACAGCAACCGAAGCAAAGGGACGACTGGCCATCTGCTGTCGCTCTCTCATCAGCTGCTGCAGAATGAGACAGAGAAAAGAAAGGGTTTTTATTCAACATGTTATTTTGAGGGAAATATTTTACGGTGTGCACTGTTTTAAATCATAAAACATTATTATTCAGTTACAGTTCGACCACAGTCGCCTACAGTCGGCCACTGAGCAGCTCTACTGGGACCAACCGGAGGTGGAATGCATTGCTCAACGGAAACAAGGCTGCTCAATTTCTCCCTTGCACCCATCTGGACTGCAGATTTTGCCCGGCAACCAAATGGTACAAATGCTTTTCTGATCGATAACCATGTGTGTTCAAGCAGTGGTTCCCAACTGGTCCAGCCAGAGGGTCCAGATTTCTCCTTAGCCATTAGTTCAAGGTCCACACAATTTAAAATATTCTAGTTTTCCCTCAAGTATCTGTACGTTAGTCACTCACTCTACAACAGAAAATGGCACTTCAAAATAAAAGCTCTGTGCTGGAAATGCACTGTACTTCAAAATAAAGCATGGTCACTGTCATCAAGTTTGACAGTTACTTGCGGTCCATTCAGAATTAACCCGCGCCCCACCACTTGGAACCACTGTGTTAAAGGATGGTGGGGGAAAAAAGAAATTGGAGGAGTGATGGGGACAAGTGGGAAGATGAGGAGAAAGTGCAGGCTGGGGACAGATGTAGAAAAAGAGACAGTAGAAGAAGAAAAAAGCCAAGGATAAAAGGAAGAGGAGGAGAATGAGGGATGGGGAAAAGTGGGGAGCAGGGATCAAAGCCGAACGGTTGACAGATGCACAGGAAGGCGAAGAGGAGTGGGGAATGGCAGGCAGTGGGGGGGACGGAGGGAGTCAGATGGGAGGAGGAGGGCGGGCAAACTTCATTAATGAGGAAATGTCAGATGAACAAAGGCAGATGGCGAGGCCTTTATCAGCATGAGCTCCAAACACCCCAAGTGGAAACACAAACACAGATACACAGCTCATAAAAAAACCAGAACAACATATTGGGAACATGCAAAGACACCGACACTCCCACGCAAAGATGCACACCAACATCAGCAGAGATAAAAAAATCATCATGTGCATCTATACCTGAATCGCTACGAGGACACAGAAAAAAGGAAACGTGCTCACTGCAGCCTCATCTACTCTCCTCTCTCCATCAAAAGCCCCGTTTCCCAGCTTTTTCCACTTCACTACAGACATGTTAATGGGGTTTTGTTTCTACATTTAGCTCGGGGGTGGCCACCTGTTTCACGCAAAACAAACTCATTTCTGGACGATAATGCGCCAAGCTCTAATCATCAGTATGTTGCTTGTTGTTTCGGCACAAACTCTGCCTGGTGCAGCCCTCGCCACACACACATACAACCCACACACACACCTCTCATTGGTGAAACCAGTGCCGGAAAGGCTGAGGGAGAATCTGGGCTGCAGACTGAGACCCTTAAATGAGGGAAAAATGTTTGTTTGTTTATAGGGATGGGTTTTTTCACTAAGATGAATAACATGAAATAAACTTGTATGTATCAGTGTGGTAAAATCCAGCCTTCGTAAAAGCAGGTCCAAAAAAGTAATAAGACAAAACTAGATTTACTGCTGCCTCCGCAAACCAGTCTAGATGCAGTTACAGTTCACACTGATGTCGGTCCAGACTCATATGAAGCTATGACAGTAGACAATGCTTTAAATATGGATGTTGAAAAGAAGCTACATATTCTAAAATATGGATGCTTCACACATCTTCCCCACGACAGCACAGAAGATCTATACGATCAGCTTTAGTTTCAAGGTGGACACCAAAGATTCAGCATCTGACCAAATGTCCCCCGTTCTGTTACTGAGAAATGACCCTGAATAATGTCTAGGAAAGAGTTTTTGCAGAACACTATGATGTGGCAGTGAAGATGACCTTTGACCTTTTGGATATAAAATGGTATCTCTTCATTTTGTCAGAATTAGCATATTAATTCTTGAGTTATAGCCAAGTGGATGTCTGTGCCAAATTGCAAGATATTCCCTCAAGGCCTTCTTGAGATATTGTTTTAAGGAGAATGACACAGACCTAAGGTCACAGTGACTGTGACCTTTGACCACCAAAATCTAATTAGGTGATTCTTGAGTCCAAGTGGATGTTTGTGCCAAATTTGAGGGATTAAGATATCACGTTCATGAGAATGAGATGGATGCAAGGTCTGTCATGACAGACGCAAGGTCACAGCCATTTTGACCTTTGACTGGGAAACCTAATCACTTCATCTCTGAGTCCAAGTGGAAATTTGTGCAAAATCTGAGAGAAATTCCCTCAAGGTGTTCTCTAGATATTGCATTCATGAGAATGCGACAGACGTAAGGCGATAGTGAGCTTGACCTTTGACCACCAAAATTTCATCAGTCCATTGTTGTGTCCAGGTGGACGCATGTACAAAATCTGAAAAAAAAAAAGAGAGAGCAAGGCTCTAGTGACCTTGACTGACATTGACTTTGATCTTTGACCACCAAATTCAAACCATTTCATTCTTGAGTCCAGGTGGACATTTGTGCCATATTTGAATAAATTTCCTTAAGGCCTTCTTGAGATTCTGCGTTCATGAGAATGAGGCGGCTGTAAGGTCACAGTGACCTTGACCTTTGAATATCAAAATCAAATCACTTCATCAAGATATTATGTTCATGATAATGAGGTGGACACAAGGTCGCAGTAACCTAGACCTTTAACCTTTGACCACCAAAATCTACTCTCTTCTTTGTATCACTATTACAAGAATTGGACAGACCAACAGATGAGGATCCAACTTGCCTTACAGTATGATTCTTGTTGCTCTCTGCTATTGATTATCCCATTAAGCAAGAGATCACATAGATCTAATCTTAAAATACTAAATATAAAAACAGCAACAAGAAAAAGAAGCACCTTGATTATTTAACAAAATCTAGACTGGAAGAATGAAACAAAAAAAAAAAAAACATGTAAAGAAAGAAAAAATACATCAGAGCCACAACTAAAGAAATGACAGCAAAAAAGGAAACAAAGAAAAAAGATAAGCAAAAGAAAGAATAGAAAAAGGGGCCAACCCGTTCCTGAATGTCAGTGGCCTCCACACTCTGTTACCTCCACCTAAACTGAGGCACCTCCTCTGTGTCCTCTCCTGTTGCTGAGAAAAAGGCTGCACACTGACATTAACCAGCTGTCAGGTGTTGTGCTAGTGCGCCGCCGGCTGCTCGCTTGCCACTGTCAGACTCTTTAAGCATGAATGAATACTACACCTGTAGCTACATCAGCGCAGTCAGGCGCGCCGGCTCCGGCGGCGCCAACCTCTCCGCTAGCACGCCGCCGTGTCGGCTAACGTGATGTCTTCTCTTGTTAGCTGTCACCGCTACGCTAACGCTGCTCAGATGACAGTGTGTGCTCACTAGCATCGCTGTTAGCCTCCTGCTAGTGTCAGCCTGGATTTGTAAGAGGTGAGGTGAGAAGGTGTGTGAGAGGAGGGTGTGTGTACTCTGAGGTCTGGATGAGGTAATTTATACCTTTAGACCTTTAGAGGAGCATCATGTTTTGTTTTATTGTCTGTTTACAAAGACATAATAATTAATTTTACCTACAGAGTTCATCAACGTTTCATGTAATTGATAAAAAAAAGACGCCCTCCAGAAAGGTTTTCTGAGCGGCGTCATTTTCTGTCGACTAAGATACCTTTGATACACGGATACGTAACTGAAGCTGTTCTGTTTGGGTGCATCCATGTGTGAGTTTGTGTCATATGAGGTGTTCTCTCAGCTCTTTCTTCCCTAAAGCCTTTGCTCCTGTGTTACTGAGATTAAACTGGTCAAGGTGAGCTGGGTCACATTTGTGTGTGTGTGTGTGTGTTGCGACCTGATAAATCAGTCTAGACAGTGGAGTTATGTCGAGACATAAAAAGAGGGAGTAAAATGCAGCACTGTGTTAAGTTTTAGAGTCCGGTGAATATGCAAGTGTGTATATGGACTTTTGTTGTCCGCCATTTTATATGTAGACATGCATATGAATGCTAATGCATATGTTCAATTTAAACAGACCACTTGTGTGTGTGCTCATGCATGTGTTGTGTGTTTAATGCCCCCTGTGATAAGTCCTTGAGTGGGCAACAAGGACAAGGCAGCGGCCATCTTCTCTGTCTGCCTGTGTGGCTGTAAATCAGCCATAAAACGGCTAATTAACTCTGCTGTGCTGTAAACAAGCAGTGCCACGCTAGACACCACCAACTGGATGACACAAGGAGGGGAGGGGAGTGCAGACAGAGCTATATGTGCCTGTGTGTCTGAAGCAGAGAGAACAGTGATATTGAGTTTTCCAGTTTCAAGGATTTTAGCCGGACGCCTGAAATTCAAGCCGAATCACAGGAAGACACAAAGTTAACATTTCCTGTGAGTGCTCGTCCATGCTTTCACTCCATATTGAATGTGCCTGTGTTTACCTAGCCTGGGGGGGGAGAAGCATGACATCCAAACATCCATTTGCTCATCCGTCCATCCATCCGGTCAGTCATTTCAGCTGGACAGACAGACGCATAAACAGCCAGGAGAAAAAGTGAGAGTGCTGCAACAATGAAGCCAATCATATGGTGAATTATGCTTCACAAAACGCGGCTCATCCAAAGTAGTACCTGCGAGCTCAAATTGCCAGGCCTGTTAGACGGATTGGAAATATCTGTGTAATAAGCTGTTCGCTGATTTCAGATGCACTCCTGTGAAAATGAAGGGTTTCACAACATGACGAGAGGCTCGCTGCTACTACGGCTGCAATTAAACTCCACATCAGCTCTGTGAAGGCGAAACTACAGTATCATTACATCTGCAAGCCTGTGAACACATGTAACTGTGTGCCTGTGTGCATGCTGATGGATGGATGTGGGCGGCAATAACGCAGCAGCATGTATATTCTGTGGCACCAAACTGCTGTAAATATGTACACTGTAAAACCTCAGAGTGGACGAATCATATGGGCCAGTATGCTGGAACAGTACCTGTGTCTTTCCGTACAAACTTTTTTA